GATTTTTTCTAAAGTTATGAAATTTTGTATTTATATATAATATAACCTTAAAGTATTAAATATAACATTTTATAAAAAAAGTAATTTTTTTTCCAACTCATTTAAAAATATCATATCAGCATATATAACTCGTCACCAATTAACAACCATTTTTCTATTAGATCAATTAATGGTCAAATGAACTCAAATACTATTTAGAACTATTCTTCAAATCCAAGGAAATAATGTCTCTTTTCTTTTGAAACTTCCAACACTAAATAGACGTCAACCTCAAAATTCAGAGATTAAAAATATAGTTTTCCTAAAATATGTTTTTCATTTCATTTTTAGAATAATAACATATATTAATACGCTTAATTAATTACTATTTGGAGTATTTCAATAAAACAAAAGTTTGCATCGTTAAGRAAATTATACACCATCTTTCTACTACTAGAACATAATGGTTAGGATATTTATATTTCATGGAATTGAAACTTCAACATTTACGTCTGACATTTAAAATCTTGCTTGTACTAGAAACGTGCTATATTTACGTGGACCTTTTATATATATATATATATATATATATATATTTTGTGTTATTTTGTTGCCGCCAATTGTGGAGTAATCATCGTCGACATTATTAGAAACTCATTCTAGTGCCTTACAGTTGTAATCGTTACACGAATTTCAGCAAAATCCCTCTAATTCCCAATATTTCCACCTCAAATTTCCACATTAGTTTCCTATTTTTTTTATTTCTTTTAAAGAAAAGTTTCCTATTCTATTATTATTACATTTAAAACATACTCTATGATAACGTACGACACACATTTTTCGGAAGTTAAGAATATTAAATTTACGAGATATAGATATTTTCATTGACATCTCGATGTCCATAGAATTGATATCCATATAAGAGATGAATCAATATTTACACAAAATAAATAAAATATAAAAAATATCAAGAAAATACCACTAAAATAGACATATTATTATCATTATTATTAACTTTTAAATTATTTAAAATGATAAATATTTGTCTTTAAATTTAATTATTTATTATAAATTTTTATGTGTATAATTTTTCTTGAATATTCATCATCAAAATTGACATTTTATTGATATTTTAATTGATATTTTCAATATAAAATTGATACCTTAATATTTATATCAATATCAAAATTTAAAATCTTGAAGACAAATCGTTGGAAGACATTGTAAATTAARATTTTGATCATTTCATGCCATCAAAGCAAAAACTGAATAAAAAATTTTCAAAGGGAGGGACAAAATTTTATATTCTAGCTTTGTATGAATATATAATCTTTCAATATTCTAAAAATTTAGAAAGGTGGCAAAATAGAGAGAAAATTTTTTGATTTTAACATTTATATGTAATTGTTTAAATCTAAACGAACCAAGACGGGGTAAAATGAAGTATTACCGTCTACTATTGAAATGAGTCTTGAATTACGTTCTTTTTTAATAATGGTTCGTTTTTAAAGTTACACTAATCTACATTGAGTCGCTAATATGAACATAGTTCACTTAAGGCATCTTGTTCCTTCCGAGGTTGAAATTAAAATTAAGTCCAATTCTCATCCCTTTTCAAACTTTTTTTCTATTTGATTTCTATTTAGAAATGATTGAATTTTAGTTTTGAAAAATTTCTTTCAAGTACTAGTATGATTAATTTTAATATAATATTTTTTAAGCAAATGTACACATTATTGTTTACAATATTCTATAAGCTAGAGAGAGTTTTAAGAGTTAAAGCTATTATAAATTAGTTGAAAATATATATTTATGGTGGAATTTTATTTAAGGAGGTTGAAAGATTTCATTTTAAAAAGAAAGGGAAAAAGAAAAAGTAAAGAAAACAAGAGAGACTTTGAAATTCTCACAATAATCTCAAAGGCTAGGCTTTTCTCAAGAGAATTTCCAAAGAAAATTCACAATAATCATTAATTTCTACTTTCAATATTATTAAGAAAAAATATGTACAAAAAATTAAGTAAAGAGAAATTTATATTAGTAGTAAAAACTTCGATTTAAATATTTATTGATTATCTTATATTCTAAAATTATATTTATAATAATAAACTAAAATAAATAGATAAATTATTAATATATTAGACATTCGAAATTTGAAAGGCTTAACCAACCGTCTCACTTGCACTTTGGACTATAGCCAACACGATAAGRGGTTAAAAAACTTAAAAGAGTTTGGACTCATTATTTATTATTATTATTATTATTTTTTGTCATTAAATTCTAGGGGATTTGATTTTGGATTTCGGAGATGGAGACCTAAGTTAGCAAGGTTTCTAAGGTCTATTTGGTAACGTTTGTTTCCTCATCTATAAAGACAGAAAAACAAAATTATGTCTAATAGTTATCCTGTTGTTATTTATTTATTTTATTGAAAAAATGAATAAAAATGTGATTGATAACCAGGTTTATTTTTCTCTCAAACATTTTATTAAAAAAAAAAGTAGTTTTACATAAAATTATTTTTTTCAGATAAAATATTAAAATAATATTTATTTTTTAATTTGGTCGTCGCTCTCTGCAACATCTAGGCTGATCAGCAACGAGTGATAAGAAGCTTGATTGAGCAAAGAAGTGAAGGAACGAAGCCGTTTTTCTAATAATAGTCCATTTTATTGTTATTCTTTTTTTTCTTGACAATTATAACTGTCATCAAAAGAGTCTTTGGTTTTGAATGGTCATTAAAAAGTTTTTTTTAATAGTTTTTAACCGTCATAGCTAAAAAAAAAACCGACAGTCTTTTCATAACCATCATGTTTACTTTTTTCTTGATGGGTGATACAATTACRTTGAAATATGGTCAAAACATCTATTTATGACATTTTTAAAAATCATCTAAAGTCCCTAATGTTTGGTGTTTAAAAAACAAGAAACGAGAACAAGAAACTATTTGCTTGGTTTCAAAATTTGATTGAAATTTTGACAAAAGCTATTAAAAAAAGTAATTTAACACTTCCACTGTTTCTAAAAACTTGAAAGCAAAAAAATATGAAATAAGAAATAGAAACGTTACCAGCAAACAACTTCTGGGGAAGAGATTTTCTCTATTGGCAAAGTTTATAAGAGAGTATTTTGCATATAGATCTAGTAGGTCATTTATATTTTGACGTGTAGGCCGTGTTTATGCATTGATTATTATTACTCTCCAATTTGAGATGAGAAGGTTTTAAAATTGTTGCATGGCTTCAATATATTGTTGTATCTTATTAGAGTTGTTCGACCTTAAATACATGTGTGTTAGGCACGCGATTCTCAATGTTTGAATATTAGTTGGACATGGTGTAATATACTTAAATTGGAACATAACTCAACTGAGTACGACATATTTTGGATTAAAATGTTATAAGTTTGAATCCTCATTTAAATTCAAAGATGAGTAAAGTCTTAAAAAAAAAACAGTTCATTCTCAAGGTAGTAATAATAGGAATAATATTGATTTCTAATATTCACACTTAAATAGAATACTCAAAAAACTTGAAAAATATTTTATAAACCCTAAATCTTCCTCTAAAGGAAAAAGTAAGAAAGGTTGACTGATGTGATGTATGTTCCTTTAATTGCAAAAATTATTCAAAAATTGGGATTAAAAAGTAATTTCAATTAAAAAGAAAGTTTGACTGCTTTATTCAAATTTAACCAGATGAATTGAATCTATGGTTTTATTTAATGCATCTTGAAGACTTAAATTACTAGGTTTAGCTATCAATGAGACCTGTTTCATTAATAAATTATATATATTTTATTACTTAGGAGTCGGTGAGCCTTTCGCCTTTTTGCTCTTATATCTGAGGTATGTGCATTGTCCCAACTGTGTATATTCTTTGAAGCTCCAAGCCACTCAAGTTATCTCTCGGGGACGTTTAGTTATCTTAAAATATAGACATATTTATATTAAATTTGTGCATTATTAATATTAATGAAAATCCATAATATGGTGTGTGGTTAGATTTATTTATTTACTACAATACCTTTGATTTCAGGAGAGACATATTTTGTCTAATGGGATTTTTTAAAAAAAATATTACAATTTAAAGATGATTTGAGATGGAGATTCCAAACCTAGATTAATTGAGTTAGGCACTGTAGAAATACACAAGATGCCTTGGATATGAACTCTAATGATTAATAAAGTGGTAGTTACTTTTTGCTTTTACAAATTGTTTTCTAGCACGCATTACCTATTCAAATTATTCTGTCTCTATTTAAAGCTACTCATTTTAAGTCATATTCTTGATTAAAAAAGAAAAAAAGAAGAAGAAATTAAGTCATATTCATCATGACCAAGACCGAACATCACAACTGTTGCTATATTGAAGATTAGTGTGGTATTCTAACAAAGTAAAAGTGAGCTTAACTCAACAGTAGGTTATGAATTTGAATCCTCCTGTCGTACGACAACATTACTTCATCTACATTTTTTTTTAATAACTAAGAGTCTTTCCCTTATACTCAAACAGGGACCTGAGCCTGCGCCTCCTCTACATTGACTAATTTACTAATTTAATGTTTAGGTAGACACAATATTCAAAAAGTCAGGTACTCCGTCAGTATACCTCTATTGAACACTATTAAGTTTTTTTTTTTTTTTTCCGCAACTATGAGAGAACAATGCATAAAATGAAAAAGAAAGAAAAAATAGACATTTTCCCTTTCAAAAATGGTATAATGGTAATTAGTAAGAAAACACCCGACCGACTTAAATATTATTTATGTTTAAATCCTTTTCATAGAGGAGAATTCAAGTATAGTGTTGAATTGACCAGCACCATATTTGTTGTTTAACATTAAAATATACAGAGATGACTCACTACTTTTTAACAAGTTGCCATTTTCACGGCCATAATATGTTAATGCCCACCATATAATACATGATAATTTTAATTTTCAACTAATTAAGACATCTATCTACGACTGAAAAAATCGTAATTCCAAATCACCGCAGTCACATGTAAGAAGAGAGAGGCTGAGTAATGGAGCATGATTCATCCATTTATATAATTCAGGTTTTGGTAAATCAAGATCATATCTATTTATACAAAAGTGTGATGTATACTTATAAAATCATGACCCAAAATTGTATGCTTACACTTCAGAATCTTCTGTGCTAAAAGCAAGCAGATTGGCTCTGATTCTGGCTGCAACAAAATCATGTTCTGTTCACTTTTCATCAGCATGTTTTATTTGAAGAGCAGCTCTTACCACATTGCCTCTTGTAATAATCCCAACCTTCATTAAAGGTTTCAACATTTTACGATACGAGGGCGAAAACAACCATTGATTAAAATGAGAAGAGTGGAATAGATGTCTTACCAGCTTTCCCTCGGCATCGACCACTGGCAGTCGACGATACTTTGTCTGAAGCAATAATCTGCATTTTATAAATCAGAAGCAATGGTTCAAAGTTCAGCTGCAAAAAACAGTCAAGGAAATGGTATGATACTATGAAGAAACAGAAACAGTGGAGGGAAGCATGTCTGGACCTAGCAGCATCCTCAAGATCGGTAATTTCTCGAACGACAAGAGGGGCCGGTGTCATCAAATCGCCGACCACCTTCCCGTTGGTCTTACTTAGAAGCCTTTGTACCTCATTAAATGTCTACAAGGATGGTTTAGGATTAGAGAAATTATTTGCGCAGATTACTTTCATTTCATATCCTCTACAAACTAGTAAGCAATTAAAAGCTTTTGACCATCTGTACCAAGAAAAGTATTAAAACCAAAGCTTCTTTTGGTAAATCGCACAGTTTACCCTTCATTTGCCTCTTGCTAAACTCGACATCGAGGTTCCTGTGCTCAGACATAACAAAGCCAATACCTGTGCTCAGACATAAACAATATGCATGAAAATGAAATCTTTGACCAGTGAACATAACCTTATGATTTATTGCTAATATTACCTGAGCTGTTGATGCCCTTCACAAAATTAAAAAGGTTTAAGTTCTGTCTGAAATAAAGCTCTTTTCAAGCCTAACTGGTAATTAATACAGCAACTCTCACTTTATGTACCGCATTTAGTTCTTTTGAAAAAGTAAAGTTTTCTACTTGTTTTAATGCTCAGAAGAAATAATTTCATAAATAAAGTCAACGGGAACACTGATTGCAAAGAGTATGAAAACAACAAACAAACGCCAAAAAAAGGAGGTTGCATACTTTCCACGAACTGTCGACTTCAGGAAACATGCTTGTATCTGTCCTTACACCACCTAAATTAAAACAATTAAAAAAAATTCATTCTAAAATTTTGGAACAAATTATGCAGGTGCAGTCGGACCAATTTTCGTTAAAGAGATGTCAAAACAAAAAATCTGCAAGATCTACATCCACAAACTGAATGACCATAAGCAATATGAAAAAAAATAATTAGTTTTTTCTTGAGATAAAATAACGAAAAAACAATGACCATCAAAGACTTGGCCAAATTTTTTAACCTGATCCCCAACCCAAAAGATTTTCATATTAAAGTAATGACCTGATACCATATATCATTCGACATGAAGCAAAAATTGAAAAAATAAATTTATACATACCAAACAGCTGCATACAACTAGCAAAAATGTTAGATGAACCAAATAGAGTCAATAACAGAAACTACAAGTTAATGAAAGCATAAGATCTAGGAAAGCTAAAGTCTCTCTTCTTTTAAGGCTTTCTGTAACTTCCCCAAAAACCAATCATAGCTAAAGATACTTGGATAGGGGTTACCCCATTTTGTAATTTTAATATTTTATACCATCAATAAAACTGTTTCCTATAAAAAAACGATAAAAAAACAAACATAACTAAAGATGCTACAAACACCAAAGATAAGACAGCCGAACAATCTTATAAAAACAGGATAAAGAATGGCAGTGCGGAGGAGTTGAAATTAGACAACTTGCTGACAGCAATAAGAAGTAGTTTCAAATATACCTGAAATGGAGTCCAGTGCTAACAAGTCATAATCGGAAACTACGCCAACCTGCATCAAGAAGTAATTTCTATTATAAGCATCTATGATTGATTGTCCAACAGTAGGCCATCTATATCAATCCTATAGAGCTTCAATTCACCCGAATTCAAAAAGGTTGCAGTAATGGCAAACGAATGATTTTTATTGCAATAAGAAACACATGCCACCTATCTTTTTGAGTGTGGGTGTGGGTGGGGGGGTGGGGTGGAATGAAAACGTGATGATTCAAAGTAAAACATTTGATGCAAAATCCTGGACAGAACTGAACAGTGTGCCTAGTGGATGTTAGATAAAAAGTACTTGCAAACGGGATGACAAAATAAAAGCATAATTACAGTAGAGAAATGTCTCTTATAAATAAGGAAATGAAATGCTACCAATTTCCAATTGTCATCAATTACTGGAAATCCCGTGATCCTTTTCTCCACCAGAATTTCTAGTGCTGTATGCATAAACAGACACAATAAGCAACATTTTGGTAGGAATTAGTAGGTTCATAAGTGCATATTAGTTATTACTTATTAGGCAAGTTATTGGTTATAAATATAGGGAATGAGATGAGACGGAGTCAATTGTTTATTGTGGTTTAGGCTTGAATAAGAATAATCAAGAGAGCTACACATTGTAGTTTCTATATTTCAATATATTTCTAGTTCTTTGGTTCTATCACATTTGCTAATGGTTTGGGGGAAAATATCCAAAATTTTCAATTACCTTCGTCCACAGTGGTTGTGGGCTTTACAACGTGTAGGTCCTCTTTCCTGGTCATAAAGTCACCAACTRTGTACACACCACTTCTTGACTGCATATCAAAATATTAAAGAAAGAAGAATAAAATTTTGACACCCTATAAAAATATAAGATGAGAACAAGTTCAGAGAAGTACAGTTAATCAGTGGAACATTGAACATGAGTATAAGAATTCCTTTTGATGGTTAATTTTAAAAAAAAAACAAATGTTCAGAGTATTAAGTAAACATGGGTGTCACCCCATTGGGTGGAACTTTAAGATAATTGTAAATGTCACTCCAAAAAACCCATGGAAAGCAATCTCTAGAGGCTTACATCATTTCCTCAATTTTGTTGTAGGGGATGCGACTCATATTGATTGGAAATGCCACACTTGTGATTTTCCATACAGCTATATAACTTAGATCTTGAAGGATGTTGCTTATCCAACATTTTTCCTCTTCAAGGCATTCTCCTCTCTTAACTAGTTCCTTAAGAGAGCACTTGTGGATAGAGGTCTGGATGATACGACTTCCCTTATTACCATTGTTCAAGGTGTTACCTTTTGTCTGGGGTTCAAAGATACCCTACACAGGTCTCTGTATTCAGCTTAAGCCTTTTCATGTAAATCATATTTGTGTCAATTTCTTTCTTTTTCTTCCTCTTTCTGGGTTTTTCCTCAGCTTCTCAATCCCTTTATTTACCCCACTCTACTACCAAGCTTTGGAAGGTCAACATCCTGAAGAAAGTTAGGTTATTCTCCAAACTTGTTTCTTTAGGGAGGATTAAGACCACTTAATTTCGTAAATACTAAATAGTGAGAAAACACTTGACCCCTTTATTTACCTCCTCTTAGATGCTTGGCCACATTGGTGTGCACTTTACAAATAGGCATCAGATGATCTCAATCATATTTTGGGATGCTGCGAGTTCCTCTTCAGGATTGCAAGAAAGTTCTTTTACATCCTCTTTTCATGAGAAAGAAAGGTTTCTGAGGCAGGTCGTTATATACACACACAGATATACGCATATATATCTTTAGATTCTCTGGCTCCAGAGATATAGGAGGAACTTTCAAGTGGTAGAGGGTTTGCAGAAGGAAGTTTGGAGCAATGCTCATTTCGATGCCACTCTTTAAACTTCCATGAATAGGATTTTTTTGGTGATTTATCCTTCATGTTCAATTGATGATAATTGGATTCCACCTTTTATAATCGCACTCTCTTCTGCTTAGGTCCTGTGTTTTTGTATGGCCGTTTTGTACTGTAGTTCCATATCTCTCAATAAAAGGTTGTTTTTTTTATCAACATGAAAGAGGGAGGGAGGGGAAGAACAGCATCACAAAACGATATTCGCATCAAGAACTAACGCACTTGCAAGAACAATCCTGACTGTTTATGATCAAATAAGGAGGAATATGAGAAAATTCAGAAGCAATCAAGGCCCAAAGTGAATCGTCAAAATCATGGTTTCTCCGAGAACATTTGAGATTCCCCAATGCAACAAAAAGTAATCATCCAAAAATTCAAATCAACCTACTCTGACAAACTAATGAAAAACTAAAATTCACCATTTCCCACACCTAACGGACTAAAAACAGGAATAGTTAAGAACAGAACAACGCACCGGAACAGAATTGGCCATCAAGGTGCCACAAGCGGCGAGAGAAGTAGACTTCCGGAGCTCCGGAAAGCGAGAAGCTGCCGGAAAGTTCCGAGTCTCCGATGCATGGATTATCGGCGATGGAGGTCTCCGGCGAGGACCAAANCCGGCGAGGACCAAACAGTATCTGCTGAGACAATAAACTATTCGCCCGAAATTGCGACAACGAACTCAAACTACAACCAATCGATTCCATGCGAGGAGCTTCACGAAACTAATCTCTACGAAAGAATCAACGAAACCCTCCCACAATCGGCAGGGCTTTTTCCTTCCTTCGTTGCAGTTTTTTGTTCTGTAGAAGAAGATAAACGGACAGTTACTGTGACGTAGCCCCGCTAATTCTCACCCATCTGTCACCGTTGTACCCACGTGTTTGAATCAGGCGCGACCATGGAGTGGATCGGACGGTCTCAGTTGTTGTGAAAAAGCGTGATATCTCGCCTCCGTGACGGTCATTTCTGCAACTTGTCCACGTCGTCATATTCTGGGCACGAATATCAACCGCCAGTTGTATACGAATTTGACCTCTTTTGGACAAAAATATCTCTAACTCTTTTGGAGGGATTGAGCCCACTCGTTGCCCCAAATACCAACCATTCTTTTCGATTTTTTTTAGTTAAACGAGCGCGGGTGGAATATTCGAATTCATGATCTCTGGAGAATTTTTCTCTACCACCTAAATCGGGGCAGGGATGGGAATACGTTCTCTATCCCTATTCTTCGTTTCTGCCTCACATTATTTTTTTAATATATACTCTAAAATAATTTTTTTATCTTCTTCATATATACATACTAAAAAAAATCATGTATTTTTATCTACTCGCCACCTAATATATATATTTGCAAGAATTAGATCTTATAAATGGGGTTTTACTTTAGAATTAGAAGCAATCATATAAAAAAATTAGAAAAAAATTATTTATTGAAAATTAATTAAAAAAATAAATGAGGGAAAATTTCAGGGACCTTGATCCCCATGAATTCTGTGTGGGGAATCCTCGCTTCATTCCCTGCAAAATTTCATGGGGAATTTTGCGGGGATGGGCGATTAAATGAGGAGCGGGGAAGCCTTCTCTGTCATCGCCCCGTCCCGTGAACATCCTTAGGTGCCAATAACCATTGAGCTAAGTCTATATTAGACATTCTTTTGAATTTTTCTTTTTCATTAAATAAAAAATTTAATTTTGAACCTATCCATAAACTTTGATTTTAAAATTCACATAATGTTAGGACTTGAAACTCTATGTTGAATGTTAAATTTTGGCTCATCATAGATTGTCATATCATAATTTTTTATATTAATTATAAATTGACATATGTTGATGTAAAATTTGTCATCTTAGAATTCCACCAAATTCGCACCAATCTTCTAGAATAAAAGGGATCGACAAGACCTGCAAAACAGAATAGCACTAAGATCGGTGTGGCTCTTGCCATACAAGATCTGATGCTTAAGTCAGAATTAGAGTAGTCGGGTATGGAGAGTAGGGTATTTCAGCGTACCTTTAAGATTTGGTTTACCCTCCTATTTATAGAAATCGAATCTCAATCTTTTTAAGATTTACATAAGTCGAATCCTAGTGTGCTTAGGAGATCTGAACTTCTGGACCTGTGCGTTTCGTCGTTGGCTTAATATCAAATCAAGGGTCAAGACAGGGTAGAACTGGATCGGGTTGAACAAGGGTTGAGGAGAACCACTGATGTTCTCAGTCAATTGGTCGAGAACACCTCGGCACCGACCCCGGGTCACTAGTTCTGGCCTTCTTACTTGGCGTTGTGAGCCCGCTCCTCTCTCAGCCCTACTTCCATCTTCCATTGTTTAGTCCGTTCTTCTTTTATCTTCCCATAACAATAGTCTCACTCTCAAAATAGAAGGCAAACAACATACTAAGAATTCTATATTCAGAATATTTGTTACTCAATGTGGCTGACTATTTTTGTGGAATTGTCCTCTTTTCTTTTGTCGTTGTCAGTTGTCATCTTTATGGGCTTGTTTTTCTAACCCTCATTCTCTTTTGTTGTGGTTAGTTGCAATCAAGTCTCTTGGGCATTGCTATACGGTTAGTTTTAACCCTTAGATTTTGGCTTTGGGACCTAACCTTTAGCTGAGCCAATGGTGTCATCATCGAGCTTCTAACCTATTTGGCTTTTGTCCATGGTTTTATACCTCAGGATTACTCTTGACTTTCTAACATGTTTGGCTTTCGCCCATGGTTTTATACCCTCAGTTTAATTGCCCTTGAGTTTCTAACTTATTTGACTTCTGCCGGTTTTTTACCCCGAGTTCAATCAACATCCTCGGGTTTCTAACCTAATTTGGCATTTGCCAAATGATTTTATACCTTGTGTTTTGTTGATTGGTTTTAGCTTGCCAGCTTTCTGTTTTGACCTTGGGTCTGTACGCATGTCTTTTTCAGCACCTTTGGGATTCTCTTCCCCAGTTTTACTGACTGGCTTCTAGCTTATCGGTTTGCTTCTAGATCTGTCTTGGTTCGAGTTCCTTGACAAGCTATTGACTAACTTACTCATACCTCCACTTGAGGGATTTTCATTTAGAATAAAAGATAAATGCTTAAGTAATAAGGAATTAATTAAATCTTTGATACTATAACAGATAACCAAAAGCAAGTAACTATTCTTGGAAACATAAAATGAGACATAATTTGAAACGAAGCAAATGATAACCTAACATGTAAAAAAATTAGTCCTAAACCTATTCAATTATCAACCAGAAGAAGAAAAACACAGAAACAAAAAGAAATTAGATATTGTCCTCCAATGCGCATTTGTCAGGTTATCTCCGAGACTGTTGTTGAGGTATATTTCTTCAAATGGTTTCGTTAATCTGATTGATCTTGAGTTATGTCGAGACCCTGCTTTGAATGGAGTACCTCTTTTGCACTCATATATTTTTGGGCTCAATTCAATGCCTCTGAGAAAGTTGTTGGGGCCGTTTTTCCAAAAGAAAATAACAGCCCTTGTTTCTTATGCTAGATACGAAAGTGAGTAGCGGTATTCCATCAGTAAGATCTTTGACTAGTAATTTTTCCTCGTTGAAGCGAGCCACATATTCTTTGAGGCTCTCTGTTAATTCTTGTTTTATGGTAAAGAGGTAGGTCACAGGTCAACTCCTCTTCCGCCATCGAATGAATTGTGTGACAAATGCGCCGACCAGTTCTTTGAAGGAGAAGATTGATTTTCTTCTTAATTGCCAAAACCATATGCGGGCTTAAGACTTAAGAGCTTGTCTAATTCACCTACATGAGCATAGCTCAGCGGTAATTAGTATGTACTTATTCTCTTGAAGTTGGAATCTCCAAATTGTTGAAAAAAAAAGTGATTTGCCTACTTCAAAAGCTCTCTAATATTACTATTACGAGTGACAATATTAATAAAAGGGTAAATACATTTTTAGTCCATGAGTTTGAAGATAGATTTCTACTTGGTCCCTAAATTTGAAAAAGTGACAGTTTAGTCTCCGACCTTTAGAAAATTGTTTTAAATGGTGAAGTTAAATGACACTAATGGAATGCTAACGTGGCTTCATGAGCGAGATATTTATTCAATTTTATATTATTTTTAACAGATGTGTCATTTTTTTTGGAAAATACTTGCCTCCTCATCAATGAGAAGGAAGCTTGTCCTCCTCACCCCTAAATATTTACAACTCATTATTATTTTTAAAAAATTATGTTTTTGCATTTCTTTCTTAATTGTCAAAAGACGAGGTTCCTCATAATGGAGGGAAGTATTTTCCTTTTTTCTTTTCATTTTTCATTTTCTCATTTTCTCTTTTTCTTCCCTCTTCTCCCGTCTTTTCTCTGTCTCTCTTCCCCTCCATCCCTCTTTCTCCCTCTACAAAAATCATTGAAGCCCCCTTTCACGGTAGGGAATTCCAACCTCGAAGAAAGGAGGAGGGAAGAGAGAGAAAGAAAAGAGGGAGATAAGAGTGGGAGAAATAGAGAAAATGAAAAATGAAAAAAAAGACACATATGTTAAAATATAAAATTTAATAAATATCTTACTCATGAAGCCATGTCAGTGTACAATTATTGTAGAATCATTTTTTAAAGGTAGAAAACTAAACTGTCACTTTTTTTATTTTAGAGACCAAATAAAAACTTATCTTCAAACTCAGAAACTAAAATGATAAAATTACAAAGTTAAAGTTAGAGCTCACTTATTGCCTTGCAATTGTTAGATAATATCATCTAAAGCAAGAAGAACATTGTGTTACTTTTTGAGAATAGAACTTGTCCATTCTCTGTGAGGTTTATCTTTTTCTTTTTGTCTAACTGATTTCTAATTTTTAGTGTTTTTTAATTTTGTCCCTATTGATTAAAATTTTTTAATTTGGTCCTCTATCAATTTAACATTTTTCAATTATAAATATTAAAATTAGTTGATAATAGCACATGAATTGGTAAAAATTTAGAGAATAAAAGTAAAAAATTTCCATCAACTTATACTTAACATTAATGAACAGAAAATATATTGTTGAAAAAAGTTAAAGCATAACAGATTAAAATGAAAAATTTTAAATAATAACAGATAAATTGAAAAAACACTCAAACATTAAGCACTAGAACATATATTTAGCTAAATTTTTACATTTTTCCTATTATATTATTATACAGATTTTTTTGAAACTTGAATTGAAATTTAAAATTTCCGTCAATCTAAACGTGACTTAGTGGATAATGTACCAATTATCTCATTCTTCAAGATCCAAGATTCCTAATTATATTATACTTAAAATAATTTTAAAAATCATTTATTTAAAAAAAATAACTTTTGCAACATTTTAAAACACTCATATATATTTCAGTTCTTAATGTTTGGATTTTTTTTCAATACTCTTAATTTCTGGAAACCAAGTCCATACTCTTAATTTCATTAGACAGTTTAATAGAAATTACTAGTAGATAATTTTTTATTACAAGTTAAAAAAAGAAAAATACAATTGAGAATTTTAAAACGTCAGGTAAAATTAAAATTTAGGTTAAATTATATGTTATACTCTTTTAACCTTGATGATGATATTTTTTAATCCTTAAGCTTTAAAAAGTTCCAATTTTGCCCATTCGACGTGTCACATAGATCTTCATCTTTCTTCTGTGTCAATTGAACTAAGAGTAAAGAATGTAGGTCTCCTTCACCTCGAGGTCTGTCGTTGCCCTCAAGCACCAATTTGGGAACTTACGGATTCAATGGCTTCTTTTTTGGCTCCTCGTGCGTCCCCCTTTTCCTGGGATCACGTTCACTCTCAGATTTCAACAGTTTAGGGAAGGGAACTCCGATAGTTTGCATAGCTTGTGTCATTGCCTCCACCCGTGCTTGCATATGAGCATGATGGGCGTGCAAGTCTGCTATGGGCAGCTCATCAGTAGGCATGGATCGAATCTTGTGAGAATCCACCCTAGTTTTGGGATTTCTCTCAGTTGGAGGTTTGTGTGTAGGAACTTGTACCTGTGTTGATGGGTGGAATTTGGTCCTCCACCTCTTGGTTGCTTGAAGTTTGGGAACCGTCTACCATTACCACCTCAATATAGCTTTTACTTGTTAGACGTTCCCCACAGACGATGCTAAATGTTTCTGAAAAAAGTCCCGAGGTGATATTCAAATGAGCTGAACCGAATGAGTTGAGCATGAAGACCTACAAGCAAAGAAATAACACTCTGACATCAAAGTCAGTCCTAAGTTCGAATCTCTAGGTCGGTTTTAGACAGAAGTGCTTACTTGACTAAGTGGAGTGGGGGTGTATTTATAGGGGTGGAGTGGAATCTTGTCGTTGCAACTAGGATTGTGGAGGTGATCATGACATCCGTTGATTATACTTGAATCGCTCTCAAACGCACGTAGGGACGCTCTTGCCCTTAGCTCGGGAAGGACGAGCTAAGGGGTTTCTTTCCCTTTCTTAACGCCCAAGTCTAAAGGATCGAGCTCTATCAATATCCTCAAATGGATTGTCGGCCTTTGTTTCTAGCCCACACAACATGTTGTAATACTTCCCCTCAACAAAATCGAAATCAAGCTTAAACTATAATGACTAAATTGAAACTCTTTTACCTACAACATTTAGGTAACATATTGAAATTATACCAAAACTATAAAGATTGCTTTTTATATTTTAACCTTCATTAACTCAATATGGGTACGTCATGTTAACGTTCAAAATAACAATGAATCAAATATGAGCCTAGCTCAACTAATTAAAATATTATTTACCTCTTAAAAAGTTGGAAATTAAAATCATCATACCTTCATTGAACTAANTAAAAAAAAAAAAAAAGAGGACTAGAAAATAGAGGTACCACTTTTGGTCACGTACTTTCAGTTTTGGTTTATTTTGATGCTTCTACTTTTAAAACGTCTATTTTGGTCAAAACACTTCTACCTTTTTGCTCATTTTAATTCTTATACTATCAAAATGTCTAATTTGTTCATATGCTTTTAAAAAGTGACAATTTAAGTTAACTCATTTCTATTTTTATCTATTTTCCTTCCATCCTTTATTCGTTAAATTTCTTGAATCAAAACAATCATTTTTTTTAAATACAGCGATCAAAACAAACATTATGAAACTATATGGGCCAAAATTAAAAGAAAATTATTATTACATAAATTAAAACAGTTGTTTTGAAAATACGATATCGAAAATGAATAGAAAGAAGGCATGATGAAAATACTGTTTAATCCTACATATAACATAAAATCCCAAAAGTGTCTAATCAATCAGATTTTTGTGTTGGAGAAGTGGCTCTGAACTCACCGAGGGAAGTAGATTGATTGGACCCCAAAACCAAACCTTCCAGTAAGGGAAGTGGGACGAGGCTCTGATTATGATTCCATTCAATTCAATTTCTATTGGTCCACTCCCAAAAAACATACCTTGTAAATCAAATGTCCCCTTCCCCAATTCCCAAATCCACTATCTTCTTTCTCTCTGGGTCCTCACAAAAATTCCAACTTTTTCTACCACGTTGGGCGGAGGGACATATGAATGATCGGACACTGAACTATGGTTAAAGAAGACTTGAAAATACGAATAAAGTGACTCATTCATAAGAATTTCGAAGTTAAGTAAGTTGATGTTTTGTTATTATTTTATCGTCAATATTGTTTGAGATATGAGTGACGTGACTTCGAGTATGTGTATTGATGTAGATGTCAACAAATGTAGCTTACGTAGAACATTTTGAGAAAAATTGTAATTTTGTTTCCCCTCCTTTAGAGGAGCATTTTGGCCAACCGACTAGAAAAGTTCTGGCGACGAAAAGAAGAGAGATGAAGAGAAATTTTATTGGAGACAAAGATGAACAAATGATTAGCTAGGGGGAAAACACAAAGTAATTCCACTCCAAATGTCCCCAAATTAGTCCAACTTCATACCTTTCCCAGCATAAAACGTATATCTAAGAGAGGACGTATTTCTTTGTCTTGTTAGATGATAAACGACTCATCTCGTCGTGCCTTATCTTTCATTCTCAAAACTTCTGTCGCTCCGAGTTCCAATCTATATGACCTTTCGGGCAGTACAAAGTCAACATCTTCCTGTTAGAATGAAAACCAATAAAATTGATGGGATCCAACATTTGCCAACCTTAGGATTGATGCTAATTCCCCTAAAGTAGGGGTGATAAGAAAATCATGTTCCTTAGACCCTTCACAAAAATAAATAAATAAAGATGCACTATGTTCCAATACCAAAGTCATAGGATCCCCTAAACAATATGTTTGATTTGTGTATGTTGTGTACTTTGTTCTTCATCTTCATTAATAGGCACCCTGACAATATGTTTTGTCCTTTGGAGGGCTTGCATTTGGGAATACCTGTCTTCTAATCTTTTAGCAGCCTTGATGACAGATGATAGTTTAGTCCCGTTTGGTTAGAAATTCAGATTCTGTTTTTCGTTTTCAGATTCATTGAATCAAAATGATTCAGTAAATATGCATTTGGAAAATTCGTTTTTGAAAACTGTTTTTGGATTCTGTCATCAAAATAGTAGAAATTATGAAAAACGACTTTTTTTATATTTTCAGTGTGTTCAGATTCAAAACTTGAAATTTTTAAAATGCATAATTACATTGAAAAGATAAAAACTTTGATAAATATATTACTTCATATTATAAACTCATTTTATGTTTGTTAACGTTAGAACATGTAAAATATAATATATTCTAAATTATATAACGTTGTAAAATAATAATTATACAAAATTTATAGAAATTGTTAATAAATTAATGAATATAACTTTAGATTAAATTAAATATTTGTTTATAACTATTTCTAATTTACAAATATACTACTACCATTTTTTAAAATTTAGATTCAATTACCAAATCTACTATCAAACACATATCCAAAAACACTGAAAACAACTCTGATTTTCATTGAATTCTTTATTTTCAATACCAACCAAACGCACCCTTATTTATTTATTTCAAAGCTAATGTTAAAAATAAGGAGAAACACGAAATCAAAGAGATTTTGACTACATATGAAGCTGCCTCGAGCCAAAAGGTAAATTTCTAATCAAAATCAGCAATCATGTTCCTCAAACACCCTAAATTTATCTTGTCAAGGAGCGATAAAAGTTTTGGGAGATTTTCATGAGAAGTATTTAGGACTTCGTATCAAGAAAAAAAAAGTGAGGTTTTGAGCTTTTCTTAGGCAACAATTTTGGATTGTTGATGTCTAAGAAGGGTAAGTTTTACTCTAAAGTTGCATCAAGCTACCAAAATCATACTATAATATTCCTACAAAATTGTGTCTGACTTTTGGTGGAATGCAAAATATAATAGTATAAGGTATTATATCTTAGGAGGAAACATTTTGCTACCAAACCTTTCATAGAAGCAAAAATATATATAAAAAAAAGTATAGCTAGTGTGCTCGGAGAATAACACATGTTTGGAATTCTTTATGTTTCAAAATTTTAGTTTTAGTTTACTTTTGTTCTGTACTTTTAAAATGAACGTTCATTTTGATAACGTACTTCAAATTTGATTTATTTTAGTGATTGTATTGTCAAAACGTATCAAACAATTAATATATGATTTTAATGCCAATATGAGTTTACCTTTAACAGTAATTGACATTCGTCCCTGACAATGAGGTCATGAGTTTAAATCCCTCACCCCTTATTATACTAAAGAAGAAATAAAACATCTAATCTAAATATCTTCTCATGAACGTCATCAAATTGTATAGCACTAAACTCCCTCTTCCTAAGAGAAGTTTTTGTTGTGGCATTCCAACCTAATACGGATCCTTACATCCTACAACCGACCCATCATTTCTCAAGCTTAGTTTTTGGAAGGTCAAAGAGTGAATGAAATGTTGGCGAGAGGTTTCGGCAATTTCAATTCCATTTTCAGTCTTTTTCAATTGAAATTGATCTTGTATACACGGTTAATTCTTCTTTTGTCTAATTTTGGTTTAAACTTGAAAATTGGCTTGCTCTAGAATAAATTTCCCTTTAATAAGTTGTCTCAAACAAAAAGAGAAAAAAAAAAAAAGAAGAAGAAACTTTCATCATAGACTTATAGTTTGAATCTTACTTATTGTGACAAGTCGTTGCACCGTCAATTTCCAATTGTAGTGGTTGGCTTTAATAACCTGAGACACACAAATTTTATATGGTACTGCGTGGGAAAACCCAGACCAAATGAGCATTATTGGATTTGATCGATGTGGGAGGCCAAAATCCAATTCAATCTTTCTCAACCCACATGCCTTTCGCTTACGCCTCATATTCTCGATCTCCACGGATTTGGCACAAGAAAGATCAAGCACAAGCAAACGGGGGGAGAAAAAGGAAATCAAGCGTAAAGCACAGAGAGAGAGAGAAGAAAGAAGAAAGAAGAAAGCAAAGGCAAAGCAGTGACTTGACTGACAACTGGCGAGTGGTTAGAGAGAGAGAGAAGGGGAGAGGGGGGGTCCTCTCTCTTATTCTCTCTTCTCTCCGCTTCTGCTGCTGAAAATTGGCAGCTCTCGACTTCTTGTTGCAGTTTTCAGCATACCCACCAAAATTTTCTGTTCATTCGGCATTGATTTTTCGTTTGGGGACTTGAATTTGAGGCCCGGGTACGATGTCGGGATTTGGAATTCTTCGGATGGTTTGATCTCTGTTGAAATGGGTTTGCTCTCTTTTGCTTTGATTTGCAGTGAATTTGTTGATTTGTGTACGTTGTAGCGGTGGAGCGGTGAAAAGAAGGGGGGAAAACGGAATGTGGGATCTCAATGATTCTCCCGATCATGGAGGAACTGATGAATTTGATGGGCATTCGTCTCCGAAGACATCGATTGAAGGCGATGATGACAGAGCGAAATGGGTGGCGTCGATTTCCAACTCGAGCTCTTCGGCGGTGGTAATGGAAGATGGATCCGACGCCGATGAGGCCAGTGCCGGCGAGGGGGAACCGCTTGTCCATCGGAATGACTTCCCGCCGGCGACCCGGCAGTTCTTCCCTCTGGAGGATTCTAATGTCGGGGCGGCCTCATCGGTTGGTGGCGGCGGTTCTGCTGTGTTCCCTCGAGCTCGGTGGGTGGGAGTGAAGTTCTGCCAGACGGAGCCTCTCGCCGCCGTGAAACCGGTGGCTATTCTGCACCCAATAAAGAAAAGCCGGCGAGGGCCCCGGTCCCGGAGCTCTCAGTACCGCGGCGTCACGTTCTACCGGCGAACTGGCCGGTGGGAATCCCACATATGGTTAGCTTCTTATTAAACCCCTTCTGCAAACAAATCAATTCCTTATACTCCGCCATTAACTCACAGCCTCTGGTTTTTGGCTAAATTAGGGACTGTGGCAAACAAGTCTATCTGGGTATGAATCAAAATCTTTAAATTCTCATTCCATTATTCCATTATATAATGATGAAATTGTTTGTTGTTCAATTTGATTATCCCCCAACAGGAGGATTTGATACTGCTCATGCTGCTGCTCGGTGAGCTTCTGATACATTGTCTTTTCTTTCTTTTTGGTTTCTTTCTTTCATTTTGAACTCAAATTGCTAATCAATATGGGGAAGTTCTTCTGCAGAGCCTATGACAGGGCGGCTATAAAGTTTCGAGGAACAGAGGCAGACATAAATTTCAGTATTGAAGACTACGAGGAAGATTTGAAGCAGGTCTGTTTCTGTAACATGTTTTGACTCGAATTATGTTCCATTTTTCTTGAAGCGAAAACCATGTGTTAAACTTTGGTTTTCTCTGGAACAGATGGGGAGTTTGACTAAGGAAGAATTTGTACATGTTCTACGGAGACAGAGCACGGGTTATCCGAGAGGAAGCTCGAAATTCCGAGGTGTGACCCTGCATAAATGTGGAAGATGGGAGGCTCGGATGGGCCAGTTTTTAGGCAAAAAGTAACCATATTTCTTCAATCCATTGTTCGTCCGTTCATTTCCTTATTTACTACTTATTTTGTCGCTGGTTGTGCTCGTTGATTGTTTTGTTTCAACAGGTACGTTTATTTGGGGTTGTTCGATTCCGAGATTGAAGCTGCGAGGTGTGTTTATTAGTGATTTGTTGTGTTTGTTGATCTGTCTTAGATTACATGATTATGATCTTGTAAATGATACCCTTTGTTTTAGAGCTTATGACAAAGCTGCAATCAAGTGTAATGGCAAAGAAGCTGTTACAAACTTTGATCCCAGCATATATGAGAATGAGCCGAGTCCAACAGGTAATTTAGGTCCCGTTTGATAGCCATTTTGTTTTTAGTTTTCTAAGCTTCTAAACACTGCTTCCACTTATATTTGTTTTGGTATCTACTTTCTAACAAACATTTTCAAAATCAACTTAAAGCAAAAGTATTTTTTAAAAACTTGATTTTGTTTTTGAAATTTTGCTAAAAAATCAAATGTGTTTTTATAAGGTGAAAAATATACCAAATAAGTTCCGAGGAAGTAAGCATAAGTTTCAAAACATAAGACTAGAAATGAAATTGTAATAAGTTTCAAAAACATAAGACTAGAAATGAAATTGTAATCAAACGTGGCCTTCGTTGAAACTTTTCGGTGGGTCTTCTCTGCTTTTTATTGACTGTGTGATGAAGTTTGCAGAATCATCATCAGGAAATGTCTTGGAACAGAATCTTGATTTGAAGTTAGGGAATTCAAGCTCAAAACAAGACAATCTTACATTTGGGAATCATTGCCAAAATGGCACCAAAACTATTGATTTGCAAAATAAAGAATCCAATCCTCTGGTGAGACTAGGCTCTCTCTCTCTCTCTCTCTCTCTCTCTCTCTCTCTCTCTTTGATTTTGATGTGAAGTTTCTGAAATTTCATACACATTCACCGTCTACTCGATTTAAGCTTGCGACTATTTTGTTGATGATTTCGAGTCGATGTAATATAGGAATCAAATATACTTGAGAATGATAATGGTAGAAGGTATAGGTTCCTTGAGATGGATAAAATGCAGTCCCCTAGCCAAACAAATCTCCGATCTCCACCCTCCATCGAGACGACGAGCCATGGGCACTTCGAGAGACCTATGGAATCACAGACTCTTCACAATTACTCTCCACACATCAATCAATCAAACTCTCAAGTAAGTTTCCAATTCTTGAGTAAACGTTTCCCAATGTTTCAATCTTGCATTATAAATTTAGTGGTAATTTTGTTTACTTCGTCTATAAATGTGAAAATATTTCAATTATGCCTCTAAACTTTAAATTGTGTCGTAGTTGACACAAGATAACATGCATATGGTACAAAAAAGAAAAAAAGTGGATAACTCGACAAGATAGAGTGACACATGCAAACAGACCATCGTTTAAGTAACGAATCAAATCCTTTTTATAGATTGTGCTACTTTATTTGATCCAGCTGCCTACTTTCGATCAAACAATAGAAACTACGTAAAATCTTAATTTAGAACTTGTGGGTGTACTTAAAGCTTTGTAAAGTTCAGTAACTAAATAGACACGAACATCAAAATCATGGACCCGGAAACAATTATCGTAATATAATTTGAAGCTAGCTATTATTTCATTTTGTTGTGTAGATTCAGTTGTTAAGTAGCAGCAATGAAGGAGGGGTAGGAAGTGATGAACTTTCACTGTGTTTGAGTGAAGGCCACCAATGGCAGCGATCTGGTGGCTCTCAACAATTTGCAATTGCAACTGCTGCAGCATCATCAGGATTCCCACAACTTCCACTTTCATCTTCCCAAAATTGGCTGCAGAAAAATGGATGTTTCTTAGAGAGACCCTCTTGATTTCTTCATTGTTTTTCTGCATTGTCATTGGATCGTTTTTCGTTTTTCGTGTTTCGTTTTCAGTTTTCTTTTTCGGGTTTTTCGGTTTGTGAGTTCCTTCGTAAGCTTGTAAAGATTGATTCTTCTGATCCATTCCCAATGAGGAACTGTGAAGGAATAAATGGTATTTGATTAAAAAATTTGGTATGTTTGTCTATAAACCACAAAAAGGTTTTTTTTTTTTTTTTTTTTGTTGAAGTTTCGGATGTTGATGGGTTTGACATTAACATATGGGATGAATCGAAATTTTTATTATATCATAAAACACAGTGACAAAATGTAAGAAAATATCAACAAACTTGACTAATATTAATAATTTGAAAATTTAACTAATTTAACAGGGTAAAATACTTGTTTGTAAAATATATTTTATAAATTTCTTGATTTTTATGACTTCTTTTAAAGAGTATTCATCAATTATCTACATTCATATTTTATATAATTGAGGTCACATTACATTAATCTCAGTTGAAATTTCTCAGATTTTTTTTTTCTAATTTGCAAGTTGGACGATATAAAGTAGAGTATGAAAAAAAAACATAATTTTTCAATATTTTATTTTTTGTAAAATTTTGTGTTTGGACTTTGGAGATTGCCCAACTTTTTTCATAAATTGGTTTTCTTATAACAATGATGAGGTGACTCGTCAAATTTTACGTTATTATATTCAAACATCAATTAAAATATATTTAGTTCATATCGTCACATTTCGTACTAATATATATATATATAAAGAAAACTATATTTTATTAAACTTCACTTAAAATATATATAGCTATTATTTTAAAACAACTATGAAGTAACAAATTGGAGTATAGTTATCAACTCGTTACTTTCTTTAACTAGAAGATTGGATCTTCCATCTTGTCTTTATTAACTTAAAAAATATTATAAAATAAAATTTTTAAAATGTCAGGACAAAATTGAAACTAAATAAATTATACATAATGCTCTAATATATATTATTAGTTTCAATTTTACCATCCAAGATGAAATTGAACATTTTAAAATGTTATGAGCAAAAGGGCAAAGAAATTTTACATACTCTATAATTTTTTTTTTCTTTTTTTCAGATTTCAAATTGATTTTTGGCTTCGTAACTTTAGGATCAACCTCAATGAATTACAAATTGTAATTTGATTCAAATTTCACACTGAACTTTTGATATATACGTCACATTACTAATTGAAGGAAAGAGAATATTAATAAGATCAAACAAGGATCCCATCCCTCTTAGTGGATTGACAACAGCTTGAGGTCTCTTAACCATATTAGTTTAGAGGTCTCAAATTCCTTTCGATGAGCTTAATACAAAAAATCTTTAATGTCTCTCGAATCTAGATCTTGGAATAGACGCAGACGACGCTCGATATTGGGGAGCAACACCACATAATATTTTACATAATTTAGCCAAAAATAAGAGAGAGAATAATTTTTTTTTTATAATTTGAATACTATTTTGGTATAAACATTAGTATGAAATTAACAAAAAGGGTGTTAAATTAATATTAGGGAAGAGGAGCATAAATGGGAAAATATTGGAAAAAAGTACCAAAAAAAAAAAGAAAAAAAAAGGGTATTTGACAGTGCATTGGAAATATCACTAAAATGGTGACGAATAGTCACAATCAGTGTCCTTCTTAATCAGTTATTTGTGCAAAAGCATCAGACACACACTGCTATTCCATTATTGACACTCCACTTTCCTTCTTTACCCTTCAAAACTTCGCCTTTAAATAAATAAAAATAAATTTAAATGCTACAAATATCTTGGCCTGTATCGTTAATGATTTCATTTCTAGGTTTTAGGTTTTTTTTTTTTTTTTAAATATTTGGGAATCAGTTATTTGTAGTTTGTAGGTTAAAATAAGTTAATAAATTCCGAAAAATTACAAATTGAATAGCCACAGTTATCAAAGTTTTTGAACAAAATTTGCAATTTAACAAAGAAAACATCGGTTTTATAAAAGTGTATTTTTACATATAACTTTTATTTTTTCGAAAGTAGCTTATATAAGTATAGTTCATCACTTAAAACATTTACTTTTCTTTTTCTAGAGTTCAAAGTTGAAACGTCCCCGCACATTGTACTAAAAATAACTCTAAAAAATAATGAATATATGAATATAATAAACTATTACATCGTAGTTTTAAAAGAAAAAAATTTTAAAGAAAAAAAAGCAAAGAAAAAAAGAACTGATTTTTTTAGCTTACTCGTATTAATTTTAGAAAGGGGAAAATAAGAAAATACATAATAAGTGATTAATGGTTTAATTTGAGATACAAACCTAATAACATATTTATATACTGATCTACCCTAATTTCAAATCATAATTTAAATAGAAATTAAATCTAATTCAAATAATATATCTAAACTATATCTAATTCAAATAATATAATCTAAATTATATTTAAATCAAATAAGGTAATCTTATAACTCCAGCCTTGTACAAACTATCTGATATATAAAATGTGAGCAAAAAAATAGAATGTGAAGGAATGGCCGTCGAGACATGTATGTCCAAACCTCAGCTCTAACATATCGAGAATGAGAAGGAATGGCCGTCGTGTCTTGAAACAGAGTTTAACTCAACTCCGACGTAGAAAAAATTGTTGTGTCCAACTCTGACAGTCAAATGTCAATTTCGCTAATAGAGGATTATCTAATATTTGTCGATAGAACATCCACTTAACAATGGGTACATACATCATCACACTAGCTCACAACTACCCAATAGTCCCCTTGTAAAAGGTGGAGTCTCACTTTTCCAAAGTTACGCAATCTCCTGCATTCACATAAGCTTGACTTGACACCAACTCAGACTAAGTAGTAATTTAAGTCTTGGAGTGTACGTGGTCGAGCAGCATACTAGTACAAAGTTTTATATACAATCTGCTGATGTGTCACATCGGCCAAAATCGTGCATCAACTTTACCATTAAGTTTCATAATTTTGTAAACTTCCCAATCTTTTCATAAATTCCAAAGGAAATTTCTTAAAAATAGAAAAAGAAAAAAAGAAAGGCTCTAGATTACTCAAACTAGAAGCTTATAATTCAACTTCAATTATGTTTGCCTAGTCTAGTGGACCATGTGTTGGGACAGTTCATTTTTTAGGCATTCATAGGCATGTGAATCTGAATTTTCACTTTTTATCACTAGGATAAAATAAAGATTCTTCTTAAATTTTTATTTCTAATGTAATTTTTTTAAAAAAATAACCATAATAAAATAATTTTAAATACTATTTTGATCTTTCTATTTTTACTTTTCATTTATTTGAGTCCCTATGCTTTCAAGATTTGTTCATGTCAATCTCTATACTTTCAAAACGTTCATTTTTATCCATGTACAAAAAGTTGTCATCTTAGTCTCTATTTGCAAAATATTAACACAAATTTTAAACATAATGGAAACTCTTTAATACAAATTTATGGCACATTTAATGAAATTAGCAATAATCATGTGCAAGTATTTTTTAGATTTATTATTACTATAAGTAAATAATTAGAGTAAAAAGTAAATACAATAAATTACAACTTAATACTCTCGAATAAAATAATAATTCAAATTAAAAGAGTTGTCTTGTTTCAGTTATTGGAAGTTGCAAACAATGATGAACTCATCGAAATTGCACCTCCTAGATTAACTTTTCTCTCTAAAAAAATATCAATTGTATTATATATAAATAATTATAAAAAGTTGAGGATAAAAATGAAAGGCAACGAATTCTCATCCATAGTCCCATTTATATATAAGTATAAATTTAATGGGTGAAGTGTTACATTAAAATTTGTAACGGAAGGAAATGAGATAAAAATAAAAAGGATCAAAACGATCCACTAAAATGAACAAAAATTAAAAATATAGAGGGCAAAATAAATATATTAACATGAACTAAAATTAATCAAAATCGAAAATGCAGCATTTAAAACTAATCACACATTTCTGAGCTAATTCATGGGCATATTTAGTTTTAGAAGAGGAAATTCGTATTTAATCTCCTGTCAAACAGTAACTATAGAATGGGCCTGCCAACCTTTGGATCACAAGTCATTCAAAATATAGCACTGAAAAAATAATAAATTGTTTTATTTTATTTTAATTTACTCGTTTTGAGAATAGAGAATTCTTCAAGTTTGAGCAAAAAAAAAAAAAAAAAAAATTTAAGAAGAGAAGAAGTTATATTAGAAAGCAACAACACCGTCGAGTTACATTTGAAATACAACCTCCGCTGCTGCAATGTTTACTAAGTGAAAAAATACATATCTCAAAGGACAGAGAGGTCAAAACAAGAAGTCCGTTTGTCAAAGTATCAGCTTAGATGTGAACAAAACGAAGTTCATTGAAGCTCTTTCTCAACTGAACAATATCCAAAACTCACCGACCTTCCTCCTTCCATGACGTTCCCTCCCCATTCACTAACTGAACAGCCTCCAAACAGTCCAATCGAACCATCAGATTCTGAAGGTTGAGACAGACCGCCAATCGAAGAGTCTCCCTTATCACCCGAATCTCTGCTTGAAGAGGGGAGTAACGCACCTAAAAAAATTGGCCAACATCAAATCAAGAGATAATGGGGATGCACCCACAATAATATCAATCCCGTGGAGAAAAATTCGAACAGGTGCGTCACCACACATTTGGACCCAATCTACTAGGAAATCTGAACTCAAAAATTGAGGAGGCGACGCTAGTGAGACACTTCAGAAAATTCATAAACAATTACTTTCTTTTATTATTCTTGTATTTGATGACTTGTTGAATTTAAGCTTCATTTATTTATTAACAATTGCATGTTTTTTGGTCATTTTTTATCGACTCAATATTTCTTATATTTGAATTGTGAAAGTTTGGTTAAGAACAAAAATAATGGTGAAACTTAAAGTACAATTTGTAAGCAATTTTAAAGTTGGTTCTTTTTTAACCTTTTTCTATAGAGATTTAAGTGGGCTTTTGTCACATTGGGCTTTAGTTGTGGCTTTATTTTATTGAACATCAACATTTATGTATATGTTATCTTTGTATTTGTTGAAAAAAAATATTTATCATAAATATTTTTGTTATTTTTGAAAATATCATACATCATCTTATTCTAATGTTATCCATCATATTCATTTATTTCAAATTTCAATCTTGTACTTTTT